ATCAGTGCTCGCCGTCCGCAAGACCGTACTTACGGTGGCTGGAGATCATCTCGCGAGCCCCGCTCTCTCGATTGTAATTCAAAAATTATTAATGTCGAACCTTTAGCTATAGGCATATCAAAACTCTATCAGAACTTTTTATTAAGAAACCTATCAATGCTATGCTATCCTATTACCAAGTAATTTTACTCCTAATTTACCTATGACTATCTTCCCCACTCTCACCTCTCTACCCTGCACCATCAAACAAACGTCTAAAGCAATCGATCGTGAGTTACGAGCGCGACTTCTGCTGACGACATTATAATTGTCTTTTAGTTATATAGTTGTTATTTGTTTTGCTCTTCATTACATTTATTGCTGTCTCAGTAATAAAATATGACTGATAACTTCAGGACTAGGTAAGCACGATTTGATTAAGTTTTTCAGTAATAACATGGTTATGTGTGGGATTTTCTAGGTTAATATAAGGTTTTGTTTGAAACAAAAATAGTGCAAACAGTGGTTTATTGGTCTACCAATAAACCTATTTCAACCTAAATATTTCTTTAAATCTATTTCAAAATGAAATCTATGAAATGAAATGAAATCTATTTCAACCTAAATATTTCTTTAAATCTATTTCAAAATGAAATCTATGAAATGAAATGAAATCTATTTCAACCTAAATATTTCTTTAAATCTATCATCTAAGATTTTTTTAATGTTTTTTTTTAATTGTACTTATTATGTACATAGATTTAAATTCCTTTTATTAATTGTTTTTATTATAATCGTAATTAAACAAATTCTGAAGGGATGCATGTTATTTTATGTTTGATAAGCTAAAATACAACTTTGTTGAAAGTTTAACACGCAAGCTACGGCGTAGCTGTTAGCAAAAGTTATGCTACGCCGTAGTCAAAACTGTATGTGGAAAAGGTTACTTTATAAAATTGGTCTCACTATATTTAAACGTTTGAGACAGAAATTTTTGTTCAGAAATAAGAAGTTTTTTACATTAACTATGGATATTGAAAACATGTACAAACCATGTGCGTTTCACCGGAGTGGAATATATTTGCCACTTTCCCTACTCTTTTCGCGGGTGTCATTTGAGTTTATAGCCTTATATTATTATGCTCATGTCATTATGTAATATCGCCGAGGATTGTGCAAATCTGCGAATCTACCATACTAAAAGGCGCGTATCAGCAAAAGATACAGTTTTACAGAGAAAGGTTAAAACTTACTAAAATTATTAATTCAATGAATTTGACGCTCGTTTTGAATCGAAATGAACTCTTGTCAAGGTAACGTAAATTATCTACATTTATCTGATACGCAGAATTATCTAATGCTAGTTCCGCGGATTTGCACTATCCTCGACGATATGCAACTATTAGACCAAAAATACTGTATTAAGATCAAATATGTACACAATTTTATCTATTTTCCCCATTGCGTTTAACTTAACCCTCATAGCGCGACGGAAGTGTAAGGCCGTGAAAATTTCAAGCAAATAATTTGCTGAAACTGTTCAGGAGCTGAATAATACGGGGAAGGAAGTGGGGGTTGTTGATGAGGCCATTAATACCCCATCAATGGCGAGTGACCCTTTAAATTAGGTAAATGAGATCGTATTTTGATTTCGATGTAAGGATTAAAATAAAAAAGGTTTTTTGCAAGAAGGGTTATATGTGGTATTTGACAGGGTATTTTTGATATTGTTTTTCGTAGTTCAAAAAGGCTCTTTTAACCAATAGCGGGGCAGTTACGAACTGAGGTGGATTTTATAATACTAGATTATAATTATTATTATTGCTTCAAGTGAGACTACTTTTGCGCATTATTAACTTCAATTTTCAGTTAATAATTTGGTTATTAATCTTTTTATTAATTGATAGTGTTAGTATTACTTTTTCAGAGTACAGTTCAATACCAGACACAAGTTATAAAACGAACAAATACACATACATAAATTTACGTCGGTCTCTCATGAGGGTAGGCAGAGACTATGAAATGTCAGTTGCTACGATTCTTACATAGCTCTATCGCTTCATTTCATCAATCTTTTCATGCATGCTCATCGGTTAATGGTATATTTAATTTGGCCAAATTTTAAAACGAACACTAGGACATTTCTCTACCTTTGAATACATAAATCTACAAAATTTTTCACAGTCTACAAAGTATACAGCCATCAAAGCAATAGTAATGTTGATTAGAAAAACATATCTCGTTTCAGATTATATTACTAATATTCACAAATTTCGTAATCTATGATGCAACTACCAATAAAATAACTCACCTACATTTCAGTCGTCATTCTAAGCATTAATCAAAAAATATGTAGAAAGGAAAAAGAACCGTGACAGCAGAATATAAAGCATGTAATTCAATGAAAGCCAATCTACTTATCGTTTGTTTGGGGAAACTTGATTTCGTACGATTTGCTTAGAACTGGCTCGGTTTAGTTAATCTAGTTGGAGTTACTGAGGTCAAAATGTTAGCTTTGAAAAATTAGTTGTTTATCCGAAATGGTGGTCAGCAAAGAGAATTTTACTGATAGACATAATAAATGTGGTATGGAGGGTGATGGTGATAGTTTTAACTTTTTTTATATATAATTTTAATATTCATTATTGATATTTGTTGTGTACGGGTATTGTTTTAAAGTATGTTATAATTTTTCTGTATAAATCTGATTTTGTAAGAGAATTGAATTCGTTGACTAGTATTTACTAAATTATTATATTTTCGACTTATGCATGCAACTATTTGACGAGGTGCACGACTAGTTTCATGCTAGAGGAATAAAAGACTCCAAAGTCGCGTATCGCGATTTTCTACTCATGAATATGAGCATATAGCATGGCTTGAAACTAGTCGAGTGCCTCGTCAAATAGTTACGTGAGTAAGCCGAAAACATAATAATAATTAATTAAGTATGTCTTACGAAAGTTTAAATACAAACATAATAATATTTTCTTCTAGTTAAAGATAGTCCAGATTTCTTAGTTAAATGGGGCTTAAAAGTTTCTTAAGTTTTTGGGTCCTATCCATTGACATTCGTATGTATCCTATTCTTGCTATCAGACAGTCGATTTAAGAAGTCATTACCCTCGATCACTACAACTACTGCACCTCTAAGACATAGTCTCATGTATTTACTTGTTTCTATATTTCGTGCGTACGTGAAATCCTGCACATACTTAGATGCTAAGATGCTGCATCTGATCAACCGATTTATCTACTGTAGTCCCCCTCAGCTAAATAATATATGCATTCTACCCTACGCTATAAATTTACTTGCGAAGAATTTCCTAAGAAAGTTCTTCTCAACTCTTTAGTTTCTTCTATATCTGTGTATGTATATAGGTATTTTAAATGAATAACTTTTCAGTTAAGATTTTATATTCTTGAAGTGAAGTTATGAATGTAAAACAAGATTTTAGACTGTAATATTACAAGAGTCATCATCATCATCATCATCATGGTGAATCTTCATTAAAATAATAATCAAACCCTCGATACTTAAACATTTCCAACCTGACTGGCACCCAACATGTCTCGAAAGTAACCTCTTCATAAAACCATGTGACGATCACGTGTACCCTACGATATAATACAAATGATCTGCCGACAGACGGGGCCCGTCGTCAGGACTCTGTAGGTCATCGAAGGAACCCGGGAGAGGGGAGTAGCGCTGTGGCACGCAAATGATACGCGGGCAACGCGCCCCGCATCGATCGCCCATTCGCCCATGTGCCGGCCCGCAACCCCTCCCCCCCTCCGCGTCGCCGAACTCCAGGGGGCAAGGGGGGCACCGCGCACCCATCCACCCCGCCAGACACAAACACCCTCACGCACAGACGCACACACACCACGTATCTAATGTGTTCTACCAAATGATCCGAATAGAATATTAATTCATCTAGAATATAAAGCTGATAGTCATAGCTCTTGTTCAACTCCTACTGGTTCTAAATCATCTAATTTGGATAATTATTCAAGGTTTCGCTACGTTTCAGTCTGAAATAATATTAGGTAACTCTTGCCTAATAATCTAAATATCAGATAATGATAGTATCTGGTTAATAAACATGTAAATGTTAAAAACAGTAGTTCTAATTAAAGTCCATCTAATCGAATGCCAAAACTCTAATAGGCGATCTAATCAGTGGCCGAATCAGTAATTAGTGACACCGAATGGAGGGTGACGTCAGTAAATGGTTGTATTTATAACAACAGTTAGTTGTACAGGTTTTCCATGAGTGAAAGTGTGCGTGCCGGCCCCACGGGGAGGTTAATTGAGCTCACAGCCACGTGGGAGCAATTATTTACCTCCAGGTAACCACGTGCATCGCTCACATTACTCCGATACAACGCCGCTCCGACCTCCGATGCCACCGACTACCGTCCGAATACTACATATATGGAATGTATATAGCTACTAGCGAAGCATTGCGGAGGAGCTAACTAAAAATGAAGAAATAAGATGGTGAATTTACAGACATTCGGGTTTAATGTTTCTATTCAGAGCTTCACACTCAAATCTAGACTCTAAACACTAGTGATAGGGCTCAAACTACATCGCTACCGGCTACACCACATAAATATACGCAAAGACACTCAGTGCAAAAGACTGGCTGGTCTTCGGTAAACGGTCGGGGGTGATACTAAAAACATGGAAACCAGTGTTTGAATGATTTATTGATCACAATAATCGCATCAAGCTGATACATGAACAACTACATAGTCAAAATCGCAAATGCTTTGCGAGATCGCATGCGTTCAATACAGATGACATAAAAATTTTACGAGACGATACACTTTAATGACAGTCATAACACTATGTCTACTTAACTACGTATTAAGCTAGGCTACACGACTATTACTACAGAAGCATTGCCTGATTGTAAATAAACGTAAAAATGCAGCATTTGAGCGGTCCGGCGACGACACCCCAAATCTAGGGCACGTGATCCGCAGCCACACGCCTCAAGATCAGAACTCACATTAGCCACAAACCGGTACAGTTCGAAACACTCTTATCCTAGGTGATTAATTAATGTGAACTATAGTGCAACACAGTCAACAGTCTCTGGCCGGTCGTGTCGTGGTGCACGGGGTTCGCGTTTGGTCTCGCGGAGCACTCATTTGTAGTTCCTGGCGCAGCACCGACGTGCGTGGTGCGCGGTGGACACGGCTCGACTGGGCCGCGCACGGCCCCCGCCGGCGCCCGCCCCGCCACCCCAGTTGCATCCTTCAAACGCTCCCTGATAATCGGGAGAAAATACTACACACAGTTGCAATTGGAATGCCGCATCGTGTTCTTTTTTGGCTATGACTCAGCCAGTAATCGCATCAGCCCTCATTGGCTGCTTGCTTGACTCGCCACTCGTCGAATGCAATTTACTCAAAAAGATTTCCGCTCAAAAGAATGTAATCAGATCATTTGTGTATTTTCGTGTTTCGTGTCGATCGTGACGGGCTCAGTCGTCCTCGTATTTTAGAAGACTATAGGGCCTGAATATAGATGTTTCATTTCGTCGACGAGCACGTTTTCATGTTAAATTATGAGTATTTGAGACGAGACAGAGAAAAAAACTATGTTTTCTATGTCGAATGGCAGAGAGATCTTAGATACCATCTATTTGCTGAAACCGTTTTATTTTCGTTGGTTTTACATGAAAAAACTGAATTTCATTTGTTTTATTTAAATAGAGTATTTTGACGGAATACATTATCATACATCAGCAAGTCATCTCCAATGTGCATATTTAAGTTTTTATTGCGAAGGTTGTCTGTGTGACCTCCCGTATCTATAACGCAATCGTTTAAATCATGAGATTATTGTAGTAAGATGCCACATTACCCAACGTATGCTAATGAAGTAAAACCGTTTCCCCTCCACCCGGAAAATGTGCCGAGCTCCTATATCACGCACTTACACAATACATAAAGTATATCAGCAGATGTAGTGCTCAGATCTGTGGGTGCAAGCAGAGCTCTAGACAGTTATCATGTCGCTCTCATAAAATTTAACTTAGGGAAAGGGTTACTGTATACCATCATAGATAAGGATGTGATTCATTGCTTTATGAAATCGTGTAGTTGAGAGATCATTTACATGACTTTATTGCAGACTAGGGTGAAATATCGGGAACTACATGTAGATGTAGGAACATATCAAGGACATTTTAACTAACGTTAACAAAATGTGTAATATTGTTATAATTCATATTGACAAAACAACAAATATACATACACTTAATAAAATTGTATTAATTAGAAAACCATATAATGGCAGGCATGACAGAAAGCTCGCTACGCCGTAGACCCTCTACGCCCCGCTACGAACTACGCGCTACGCGGCTATTGGTCTCGTAGCACATTCGTAGACTTAATGTGTGTGTAATAATTTGTGAAGCGGCTATATATAAGACTGTCAAGTATTTTAGTGCCATAAATAAAACAAACTGCATGGGATTGTATGATGCTCTGGTCATATTGTATGAATGGGTTCTATGCATCTTAAGTGAGATTTTTACTTTACAAAGATTGTAGTTATTATTCCAGTTTACATACGTAAAATTAAATTAAGTAGATTGAAGTAGGAAAGGTGTAACCACGAGTGATTTGGAATAAGCTCAGGCAGAAAACAGTACATTGTGAAATTACTTTTGAACGCAAGATAATAATTTCCAAATCCGAGTATTATTTACTCCAAATTGATTTTTCTTGAATCCGATACTTTGCAGTTGCAACCATTCGACTATCGAGGCCATTGTTAGGAACACAAGCACACACAAATATACACTATGCAAGCATTTTGATTAATGGTCAGCAGTTTGTTGAATGACGTGAGGGTTCTGTCTTTCGTATGTATTCTATATACATAGTTATACACAAATCGAGCTATTCGTAACCAGCTTATCATGATCTCACGCTGTATGACATTATCGTAAATTCAACAGTCAGCTTATACTGGTATTGTATAGTCTGATATGCATACTGTGATTACATCTGACGATATAACAGTCAATTCAATCAATTTCAAAGTAAATTTTCAAAAGATAAACGAATGGAGTTTTTTTGCTCGGTTTTCATCATTCGAATACATTATGCAACGAGCACCTAGCTTCACTGACGGACAGACTGACAGACTATTATTTATTTTATATTTGTTGACATTTCAAAAATACCAAATTACAGTTTTATTGAATTAAATGTTTTTAAAATTCTTACTATAACGATTATTATATTTATATTACTATAAAATCGAGGTTTTTAATAGTTTATGTTAATATTATACCAAAGGAGTAGACAGATGTGCAAGGTGAATGCAACACCCAAGTGCCACTACCTGTGTTTTGAGTCCCATACAAAAAGAGGTTGTCATATTAACCCAGAAGGTCAAGAAGCTCGCTTTCCATGTATTAGGGGACGGTTTCAAAGCCTACTAACGGCAAGTACCAATGTGACTTTTTCCGAGTAATATGTATTTCTAAGATTATTCAGACACCACTGACAAACGGCGAAGGATAACATCGTGAGGAAACCTGGGCTTATAATTTCTAATTTTGAATTTGCCAATTGTGGAAGCGTGGAGATTATGCTCAATGCTCAATGCTCATACCTTTTCTGTGTCAAAAGAGACCTTTGGTCAGAATTAACCACTTATGGGCTGTTGATGATTAATGATGAAAAAGGAGTTATAGTATCGTTGTAAAAATATTAGCTGATCTGAGTATAGAAAGAAAACTCCAATCGTCGGAGAAAGAGCCTTAAGTTCGCTGAACCATACTTAGAGAAGCTTAACCAACTTGAACATATTAATATTGAAAGTACAAAAGTTAGCATGGCAACTGTAGAAGTTACTAGAACATTGGACATCGTCTGGATACTTACATGGCGTAAGCAGTTATTTATTTATATTAGACGAATACTTTTTAGCATTTAGTATATTATGTCTCACTGGCTAAACGCGTGACTTCGTCCGTGTGGAACAAGAAGCCTAAGTTAGAGTAACTTAAATTTACATAAGCTACGTGTCAAAAAAGTCCCGTTGAAATTAGTCCAGCCATTTCAGAGGATAGCCAGGACAAAACAAACGGACTGAGAAACATTGTAAAAAATGTTACTTTGGTGTATGTGTCATATGCATATAGTAAAAAATACAGTCGAATTGAGAACCTCCTCCTTTTTTTTGAAGTCGGTTGAAAAGTGGTTATAAAATAACAAACACACACTCCGTCGTTATTTATATGTACATATATACATACATATTGATAAGTTTAAGTAATTTGTGGACTGTCTTTAACCATATGTTGGAAATAAATTAAGATTATACATAGATACTAAGCGAGAATTGCCAAATTAAACGTATCTTCCAACACTGCTTGGTCCACTTTTACTTAGATTAAAAATAACTGGTCTCAGGCATGACTTTCGGATTAAGCTAAAATTGTAACTTTTATAACATAGCATAACATTACATATAGGGTTAGACAGAGGTGCACATTATGGCACTTAATGCCACTGTACAATGTAACACCCACTTTTCACTATTTATGTTATGAGTCCCATGTAATAGGGGGTGAGCCTATTGCCATATACCGGGCACAATTTTTCTTTAAATTATACTTTGCTCGACCCGAAAATTGAACCCGAGACCCCTTTTTTTTAAGGGGAGAAAATCATCGAATGACTACTCCCGCCTGGGTGAGGCGGGAGGGAGTGTCAGACTCTTACTGACTAAAAACCAGCCCGTTCCTTCTCTTGCACGTCGAGCCGGAGCCCCGGTAACCCGTTAGATTCTCCGCGACCACCCGAGACCCCTTGTCCAGAGTTATGTTAAGTTTACCTTATATTACATAAAAACACCATAAAAAAGTGGGTGTTACCTCTGCATCTGTATATCTGTTAGAGGATTACGAAGTGTGACCTTATTGTGTGATATTTTACTTTATATAGTGTTAGTAATAATAAAACTTTACATAATAAGAAGTTGCTAGAAAATTGAGTGTAGTCTGGCCACATGTCGCAAGCTATAATTCATCGTCTGGCGCCGCTCGCTTTAATAACATTTGTATAACTATGTTTTATTCTTACTTAATATAATAACAGCCGTTAAAATAATATAGTACTCAGTTAGTGTTCATTAATTGTTTCATTCAGTTTTTAATATATCTGTTCATATCTTGATAGTTGAGTCATTATCGGGGTTGGAGGAAGTAACTTAAGTCTATAGTAGTTGGTCGAGTAGCCGAAAGCATGAATGCTGAAAAACCGCCAGCAGATCTTAGGTTCGATTTCCTAGCCAAGCAAAAGCAATATTAGATATGACCGCGCACGCTGCTCATGAGGAAGAATCCCTCTGTGGTTCGAAACTAATAGAGCTTTTCTCAGTATATTCACGTGAGTAACTCTCGATTTTAGTTAATTTAGTATGTCTCACGATAGTTATTATAACAACAATATTAGATATATTTGGTCTTTTAAAAATTATCATAGCGGCGCGTAGTGAAGAATAAATTGTGTCAGAGTAATTATAGCATACATACCTGTCTCCCATGGGGGTAGGTAGAGACTATGGAACGCCAATTGCTACAATTCTTACATAAATATTTTGCTCCATCAACTGTCATCAGTCTTTTCATGCATGCTCGTTGGATAATCATAACATATCGAATTAAAGTGGGTATGAGTTAACTTTAAATGATATATGGATCCCTGCCTAACCCATTGGGGAAGAAAGTACATAATGTTATGTTTTCTAGTAAATACAAAAAAGACAGCTTGCCACCTAGTAACCGCCAGATGAGACGACAAGACAGACATAATTCCATCCACGCTTAGTTGAGTTTAATCACAGCAGATTGGCACGGTGACCGGTGACCTCCTCGTGACACGTGTAAATAAATTATATAAGATAACATCACACTGTTAGGTAAGGAATAGGGAGGGTTAACTTGTGGTAATTTGTCCTATAGTGAAAATAAAGGTGTATTTTTGAACACATTATGAAGATGTAGATACGTCTCCATGGGCTGTTTAAAATGATATTGCAATGCAATCTCCATTGCATGATCCACTTCTGGCCTATGGGTCAAATAAGAGGGTTTGCCATAGTCCCAAGCTTAGCAACCGATTTGATAATCATAATTTAAAAAGGACATACAAACCTGTAA